GGGGAAAAAGGTGAGTATATAAACGGAGGATTGAAAAGAGGAACTAAGCCACCATTCATTCCATGGTGGCCACTGAAAGGGAAGGGCCACCATTCATTCCATGGTGGCCACTTCTCAGGGAAGGATCATTAGAAGCCACGGCACAGCCCTCATCACCGTCCTTCTCTGCCTGGCTGGAGGCCGGGCCTGCCGCCTGCACCTCCAAATTCCCTCTCCGCAGGTGGGAAAACAGCCCATCCTCCACGATCTGCTGGCATTTAAAAAGATGTCCTCAATGATAGAATTTGTCTGGGGCACTGGTCACTGATTCCCTGCTTAGATCAAACATACGACCTCAATTTCCTGCAAAATGAGGATTGTCATGTGGAGCGGGCAAAGCCGTCACGGCCGCAAAGATGACAGTGAGTGTGCAGCGCAGCTGAGTGCCCTGTGGGGTAAATCCCCTCCCTGAGCTTGAGTGAGGGCCAGGCAGTGGGTGGGGTGTGAGCTTCTGTGCTTCAGGGCTCTGCTCCTCTGGAAGTCCAACCTCCTGCCAGAGGCCAGACCCTCAGATGTCTGCAGTTCAGCTATAGGCCCAGAGTAATTGGACAGGAACTGAGTAGGGCCTGAGCGTCCCAGAGCCCAAGTGCTTTTCTTTGATGTTTCTGAGATGATCAGGATAAAAGGAGGTTGAAGCAGGATATCCTCAGAGGCCATCATCTCAGACAGTGTGACGTGGGCTGAGTCGCTTCCCCTTTCTGGGCCGCAGGGTTTTTTTGTTTTTTTTTTAATCAGTAAGATGGAGATGATAATTCTTGCCGCACAGAGCTGTATGGACTTGGGCCTGACCTAGTGATTGCAAGCCTGGCTCTTGGGTTCACACCCCAGCAGAATGAGGCCATCTCATCACGTAGGACCTAGCTCGGGCATCCTTATGGTGGTGAGGATGCTGGCAATACCTTCGCAGAGGGTTGCCATGAGGACTGAATGCGATGGTAGGGGAAGCGTTTATGGCCGGTGGATCAGAGCATTCAATAACTGTCAGTTGCTATTATATCAATGCCTGAATTTAGTTTCTGGCATATAGCAGGTGTTCAATCAATGCTAGCTATTGTGGGGATGATGAAGCTATTAACAGAGAACACAGAAATAGAATCATGGAGCATTAGCCATTAGAGGGACAGTGGACCAAGGTGATGATCTTATTTTAGATCACCCCCTTATTTTACTACAGGGGACACGGAGGCCCACAGGGGAGAGATGCCCAGCCTGAGGTCACCTCGAGCTCATTCTTCTCTGCCCAGGGCTCTTCTTACCCTGCCCTGCTTCACCCAGGAGACTGGGGCCATTTAGAGGGAGGACACTCATGGGCCTCAGTTTCTCCTTAAGAATTGCTGTGTGACTGTCCAGGGTGGGAATGAAGGGGCTTCAGGCTGGTTGGAGTCATCCAGAAAGAACTGGAGGGGGTTCCTGGTAGGGGCAGAGAAATGCCGATGCCTTTCAGAAAGCTCTGCCCCCGTGCGTGAAGGTGACGGCCCTGCTTTTGGAAGCACCCAGCTCCTGGGGAAGGCAATGTGTGTGTGTGTCAGCGTGTGGCTCAGAGACAGCTATTCTAGACAATCCCGATGGCCACTGTTTGGTGAGCGCTGACTGCGGTCAGGCCCCGTGCCTAGCGTGTGCGTCTCATAGATCTTCATGGCAACTCTGAGGGGTGAGCGCTCTATTGCCCCTGAGGCACAGAAAGGCTAAGGAAGTGTTTCAAGCCCCCCCCCCCAACCTAGTCCATGGTGGAGCTGGGGCTTGAACATAGGTCGTGTGGCCCAGAACTTGCGACCCTCCCCACCACCCAGCTGCCCCAATGGGCCATGCCTCACACCCGTGTCAACCTTCTCATTGCCCCCTGTGGTTTTTACCTCTGTGATCTCGCAGTCAACCTGTGCAAAGCCCTATGAGGCTCAAAGCATCGTAGGCTGGGCCTAGCGCGGAGTAAGGTCTCATTGGCTCAGCAGGTATTTCTGAGCCCTACCACACGCTGGGGCCTGAGTCAGGGGTAGGAATGAGTGGGAGTAAGATGCTGGCCATTGTGTGACATGTGGCCTGGATTGGGCAGAAATCAACCTGTCCACAGTCTATGCCCTTCTGGGCACTAGAGGTGGGCATGGTGGCTTCCGTGGGAATGCTCAGCTGGGCAAGGGACGTGGGTGGTTGCGGTCACGAGTCAGGGATTCTGGTCTCCGCTCTGTGCTTGATAATTAGCAGTCACTTTGGCCAGCCCTTACCTCTCATTGGGCCTCTGTTGTTCCCACTGGAACAATGAGGCAAGGGTGAGTGGAGTCGTCTTGAAAAGCCCATTCAGGTGGCCGAGACAGTGGGGCTATGACCTGCCTGAGACCCCCAACTTGACTGGTGTCAGTCTTGGACTCTGGTCTGAGGCTCAGTCTGGCACCACCTGGCTCTCAGGCTGCATCTCCGATCCTTGGTCAGCCCCATCGCATGCTGGATTGTGGGGTGATACCAAATGTCCCCATAAGTCTCTCCTTGGAGCTGACCGTCTTATGCCTCCATCCTGATCTGGGAAAGGTCTCCTTTTATCAGTGTCCTCAAGCAGATCAGTAGCATCAAAATACATAAGAAGATAGTGTGTTGTGCTTTTCAAAGTCCCTTTGCAGACATTTTCTCATTTCAAATTAATAAAATGTAAAATTTTGAATTAATAATTCAAAACACTCATAAAGTTACCACTTCCGGAGTTGCAGGTGAAGGGGCTTTCGTGCACACCTCTCGTCCTCACAGGGACCCTTTCATGGGGTTACTGTCATTAGGATCGCATTTCGCATGGAGGAGGCTGAAGTTGTGACAGGCAGAGGCAATTCTGTAAGGTCTCAGCGCTCAGAAGTGACAGGGCTGGCAATGTGGCTCATTCCAGAGCCCAGGTTATCTCCTCTCCCACATCTGCAGTACTGGTTCTCCTTTCTTCCAGACACCCACTCTGTGCCAGGCACCCACGAGGTGCTGGGGCACACAACAAAGGGGCCAGGCCAGCTCCCTGGGTGGGTCACAGTCCACGATAAGCCCGTGAGGAAATGTCATTACTCAGCAGAGGCAAAATGGAAGGTCTCTCTGCCTTGGCTCGGCTCCCCCCTACTTACCCCCTGTGTGACCTTGGGCGACTACCATCTCTATTGCCTCTGTTCTGCGGCTGTAAAATAATGAATGTCTGCCTCATGGGGTTGTTGTGAAGACTTCGTTAGAAAACACGCATCCAGCTGGTATGGCAGCGCCTGACCCAGAGAAGGTGCTCGGTACTGACAAAGTCTGTCATTACTCTCTCTGCAAGCATGCTCGGTGAAGCTGAAGAAATCGAGGCACTGAGGGGCCAAGTCTCTCAGACCACAGAGTAATAGAGAAGCTAAAATGGGGCCCTCGAGGATCCCAGGTACATGCTCTCTCCTCTTCCAGCCCCATGGCCCCTGTATGCCCGTGAGCCTTCCCCACTGGGTTCTGAGGCAGCTCCCTGGGTACCACAGCCCTGACTCAGGGTAGGTAAGGAAGCCAGGAGACAAGGGGTTAAGCAGGTTGATGCACTGCAGCAGAAACTTCAGGAAGTGCAGGGCTGAGAGGACTTCTAAGAAAGAGGGAGGCTTGACGGCCAGAGGTTAGCCTGGCTCCTGGCCCAGAGACTGGCTCTCAAGAGGGCCCTAGCCTCTACACCAGCTTGGCTCAGCCCACGCATGCGGTCTTCAAGGCCGGCTGTGATCCCACCTCCATCCAGATCCTTCTCCAGGCTTGCCTCCGGCCCTTCCCAGATAGGTGCCTGAGGCCAAGACCTGGGGGGTGAAGTGGCCAGGGCTGGGAAGAAAGCCCACTGCCCTCTTCAGGTCCTCTGAGAGCACTGTGGGCCTTGTGCTTCGAGGTCAGGGGTCTTGAGTTCCGGCTCTGCCCCTTTAGCGGGGACGCTGGTCATGTGCCCCAATGGCTCTGAGCCCCAGTTTTCTTGTCTGTAGGTGGGGGACGTGATAGTACTGTCACCCTGGGGGCAGGTGAAGTCAGTCTCTCTAAGAACCTGGCGTGGAGCAGGCGGCCCAGTAATGCCAGTTCCTGCTCTTGTGGGTGGGGATACAGGTGCTGGGACCTTGGCACTCTAAGGGCGGATGTGGGGATTTCTCAGTGTTCCTGTGCTTTAGGTTTCTTGGGGTCACAGACATTACCGGGGCCCCTGCTGTGTGTCTAGTAGGGAGGCCACTAGGCAGAGTCCCTTGGACAGCATGGGTAGGGGGCTGGCCACAGCCCAGCCACAAGGTGCTGTGGGGTCTTGAAATTCAGGGGCCCGCACGGCTTAGGGCCAGCACCCAGGCATCCCGAGCCAGGCCTCAGTGCCCCGAGCGGTGGCAGGAGGATCCTGATAGGGTGTTCACAGAGCACTGTGTGGCAGTCACATTAGATAACATGACCATTAGTGGCCTCTCCGAACCCCACCATATGGAGTTTTCTCTGAAACACCCAGAGGCAGCGCTGGGTGGTTGTGTCAGAGTGAGGTCCCCAAGATGACGCAACCCCAGGACCATGGCCCAGTGGAGCCTCAAGGCTGGACTCCTGAGGGGCAGCTGGCTTGGGAACCCCAGCTACCCCCGGGCCCAAGGCCCGCTCCAGTCACTACTCCAGTAACGCTCTGCTTCTCAGCTCTTCCGGCATACCTCGGGGTCTCTGCTGCTGGCCTGGCAGGGGCCTCGGGACTTTTGAAGGGATTTTGGAGGGCTGAGCCAGGCAGTTCAGTCCCTACCAGCTTTGATTCACTGACTCAGTCCGCCCCCCTTGACCTTTCCTTCCCACTGGCTATTTACGGCTATTTCCTGTCCCTCGAATAGGTAAAGAAAAGGGAAGCGAGAGAAGCTCAACGTGGGGCTTCTTTAACCACTGGTAAATCATTTTCTTTATTATTAACTTAAAAAATGATATGGGCTTGGAGTGAAGATGGCTATGCAGAGAAGCACAAACACTGAAAAGTGTGAGTGCCTCGCCCACTCCATCCATCTTTCAGAAGGATCTGTGTGCATGGCCGGGGCCTCCCAGGTTTTCCTGTGTGATTGATTACAGGCCCCCACACATACGTAGCCTTTAAAAAAAAAAAAAAAAAAAGCAGGGAAGCTACTCTATATACTTCAATTATTCAGTGACCATATATTGAGCACCTACTAAGTGCCAACCGCTGTGCAGATTCCTCAGCTTGCTTTTTCTGTCAACAACATGCTGGAAGTTAAAGATAATCCTTCAGGTCAGTACTTTTACTTTTTTTTTTTTAAAGATTTTATTTATTTATTTGACAGAGAGAGACACAGCGAGAGAGGAACACAAGCAGGGGAAGCAGGAGAGGGAGAAGCAGGCTTCCCGCGGAGCAGGGAGCCCGATGCGGGGCTCGATCCCAGGACCCCGGGATCATGACCTGAGCTGAAGGCAGATGCTTAACGACTGAGCCACCCAGGCGCCCCAGTACTTTTACTTTTTAAACATAAGAACCCTTGGGATGATTTTATTTTATTTTTTTAAAGATTTTATTTATTTATTTGACAGAGAGAGAGAGAGAGAGAGCACAAGCAGGGGAGTGGCAGGCAGAGGCAGAGGCAGAGGGAGAAGCAGGCTCCCCGCAGAGCAGGGGGAGCCTGCTGTGGGACTCGATCCCAGGACCCTGGGGTCATGACCTGAGCTGAAGGCAGTCGCTTAACCAACTGAGCCACCCAGGTGCCTCCCTTGGGATGATTTTAAGCGTTCCCATGCCCAGGCCCCCACCTGAGGCTGGTTACATCAGAAGTTCTGGGGATGGGACCCAGGTGTCAGGATTTTAGATCCCAGGCATTTCCAATGTGGACCAGGACTAGTTCCACTGTGCTGGGCTGGTCCTAGCAGCTGGAGTAGGAGCTGGGCCTGCCATACAGTACGCATCACGGGAGCTAATGTTGCCAGGGGTCTCTGCTTGTAAATCCGACAGTGCTGCTTTCTGTCTGGGAAAATGAACAAGAAAAAGAAAAAGAATAAGAATTTTTTTTTTACGTCAGAGAGGTATCTCTTTATTTTTATCATAATGTCATACTGTCTTTCTTTCTCCTTGGGCATGTGGCTTTGTCAGAGCCAAGATTTGGGTGGGCTGGAGGTTTTCCTGCCTATTAGTCAAAGAAAGCTGTCCGTAAGGGCCGGGGCAATGCCACTTCCACGGACCCGGTGATCTGTCCTGTGAAGAGCCTCCCCAGGGCACCTGGGTGGCTCAGTCGGTTAAGTGTCTCTGCCTTCAGCTCAGGTCATGATCCCAGGGTCCTGGGATAGAGTCCTGCATCGGGCTCCCTGCTCAGTGGGGAGCCTGCTTCTCCCTCTGCCTGCCGCTCCCCCTGCTTGTGCTCTCTTTCTATCTCAGATAAATAAATAAAAATCTTAAAAAAAAAAAAAAAAAAAAGAGCCTCCCCAGTTTCTCCTTGAGCAAGTGAATCCAGTGTCACCATTGTGTTCATTTCTGCAGAAACAGTTCTAGAAGCACTCACGTTGTGGAGTTCGGTGTTTTGACAATAAGGTAGCTTACCAATGGTGTGTGTGTATGTGTTTGTGGTCCAGAAAAGTGTCTCTTGTTCACCTGGTGTCCCTAGTATCCCAGCTGGTGTGGCCTGTGGCTTGTGTCAATAAATAGCTGCCAAACAGGAACCCGAATAGGCCGCACCGTCTGTGAGAGCTCGTGGCCTCCAGGCCCTGGGCTGAGGATTCACTGGCTCTGCCTTATTCTGTCCCTTTAGTGAGCCCTGGAGGAGGTGTCACTCCTCCTCCGCCATCCCTGGGTGAGGAATGGAGGTTCAGGGGCCAAGGCAGTTGAGGCAGTGTGTGGCCCAGTCACCCTGTACTCCGCCTGTCCTTCACGGCCCGGCACCCCTGCACTCCAGGAGCTGGCCACCAGCCCAGGCTTCCCCCGCAGGGCAGGCACTGGCTTCGCCTGGCTCCCCATGGGCCGCCATGATGGGCATCTGTAACCCCGAGAGCGTGTGCTTCACCTCTCTGGGCCTGCGGTGTTGGGGGACAAAATAGTGATCCCTGACACTAGCTCTTGGGTTTGGTGCTTGCTATGTGACTGTGCTGAGATTTTACACTGTCAACTCATCCTCTCACTCCCAAGTGAAGTGAGTCCTATTATTATCCCGTTGACACACGTCCTCCCTGTCATTGCTCTGCCCACAGGCTCCACGCTGCTGCCCTAGTCAGACGCGGAGCCCTAGGGCTCTGAGCGCCCACCAGCCCTACAGGGGCCAGCCCACACCTGCTCTACCACACTGGCTTCTTCCCTCCTTCTCTCCCTCTCTTTTCCTTCGTCCCTCCCTCCCTTCCTCCCATACGCCAGATTTTTATTATCCAGACCCAGTAGATTCCCAAACCAACATTTCCATCTACTTACATTTCTCTTTTTATTTTCTATTCTCTGCCAACCTTTCAAAAGAAAGTACATTGTTTGCCCACTTCATTCACCTGGAAGTGGGCTTTTCTTCCTTTTGCCCAGCATTTTCTTATTTATAGGATAAAGCTGCATTATTTTAAACACATTGTACTTTTGCCATGCTATCTCTTTTTTATTATTCTCACACTCATGTAGGCCTCAAGCATAGGCCTTACTCACGAGATCCAATTTTCTTTCTATTTATTAATTTAGCCAGCCTTTGTTGAGTCCCATATGAGCTGGATTTTGTTGTAGGATTCTGAGAATGAACACTGAGTAATTTTCCTCAAGAAGCTTATATCGAAGTAGAGCCCAGTATCTAAACCGATCTCAATACTACACAGAGGCTGTGCTATGGTCTGATGACCCACAGTGCTCTAGGGCAAAAGGGTGGCATCTATCCCAGCCTGTCACGACCTAGGAAGGGCTCCTGGACCACGTGTACATTGAATCTCACCTGAAACTTGAACGGAATATTTTTTGGAATAGCTTTATTGAAGTATGTTTTTTTTTTTTTTTTAAAGATTTTTTTTTTTTTAATTTATTTATTTGAGAGAGACAATGAGATAGAGAGAGCATGAGAGGGGGGAGAGTCAGAGGGAGAAGCAGACTCCTGGCCGAGCAGGGAGCCCGATGCGGGACTCGATCCCGGGACTCCAGGATCATGACCTGAGCCGAAGGCAGTCGCTTAACCAACTGAGCCACCCAGGCGCCCTGAAGTATGTTTTAAGTATCATAAGTTTACCCTATTGAAGTAAACAATTCAATCCTTTTTTGGTTAACTTTACCAAGTGGTACAACCACCACCATAAATCAATTTAAGAGCATTCTCATGGTCCCCCAGTATGGTCTCTCGCTCATGCCCATTCATAAGTAATCCCCGTTCCCACTCCAGCCCTAAACAAACACTAATCTATTTACTGTCTCTATCGATTTGCCTTTTCTGGATGTTTCACATAAGTGGAATCATACACCATGAAGTCTCCTGTGTCTGGTTTCTTTCACTTATTGCAACATCTTTATAATATCTTATATATAAAATCTTATATATAACATCCATATGGTGGCACCTGTCATTCATTCATTTGTTCTTTTTATTGCTGAATAGTGTTCTGGTATATGGATTTACCACATTTTGCCTATCTACTAATCCATCAGTTGATGGACATTTAGGTTGTTTCCGATGTGGGGCTATTATGAATAATGCCGCTATGAACACTGACTCATAGATCTTTCTGTGCACATATGTTTTCGTTTCTCTTAGTAGACACCCAGAAGTGGACTTGCTGGGTCATGTGGTAAGTTTATGTTTAACTCTTTGAGGAACTACCAAACTATTTTCCAAAGATGCCGCCCCATTGCATACCTTCTTGCAATGTATGAGGGTTCTGTGTCTCTAAAATCCTAGCCACATTTGTTATCACCTGTTTTTTTTTTTTAAATTATAGTAATTCCAGTGGGTGTGATATAGATCTCATTTCACATATGCATTTTCTTACTAATGATGTTGAACACCTGCCGATATATCTTCTTTGAAGAAATATCTGTTCATATCTTTTGCTTATTTTTTGGATTGGGCTGTTTCCTTCTTACTGAGAACTTACTTGTAGAAGTTCTTTGTAAATACTGGATACAAGTCCTTTATAGGATTTGATTTTGCAAATAATTTGTCCTAGTTTATTACCTTTTCACTTCCTTAATGGTGGCTCTTAAGTACAAAAGTTTTGAATCATGATGAATTTCAATTTGTTAATATTTTACTTTATAAACCATGCTAAGAAACGTTTGCCTAACCCAAGGCTTTGAAGATATTTTTCCTATGTACTCTTCTGAAAGGTTTATTATTTTGGCTCTTACATTTAAGTTAATGATCCATTTGGGGCTAATTTTTTGTGCATGGTGTGAGATGAGGATCTAAGTTCTTTTGCTTGTAGATGAGGAACCAATTGTCCCAGTGCTGGTTGTTACACAGACCATCCTTTCCTCCGATGAACTCCTTGGGCACTTTTGTCAAAAATCAATTGACCATAATGTAAGGGTTATTTCTGGACTCTCGGTTTTGTTTCATTGATCTGTTTTGCGGTCCTTATACCAGTACCACACTGTCTTAGCAACTGTAGCTTTGAACTCAGAGAAGGGAGGCCCTACAACTCTGTTCTTTTTCAAGAATGTTCTGGGTGTTCTAGGTGATTTTCATTTCCATATAAATTTTAGGATCAGCTTGCCAATTTCTGGGGGGAAAAATCCTGCTGGAATTTTGATCTGGATCATGTTGAATCTATAGATAAGTTTGGGGAGTATTGCCATCTTAAGTCTTAAAATCCAAGAGCATGGCAATGTCTCTACATTTATTCTGATCTTCTTTGATTTGCCTCAGTAAAGTTTTATAATATTTGGTGAAGGAGTCTTGCATATCCTTTGTTAAACTTATTCCGAAGTATTTTATTCTTTTTGGTATTATTAGGAGTGGATTTATCCTCTTAATTTCATTTTCGGCTTGCTATTTGCATGTAGAAAAGAATTAATTTCTGTACCTGGGAACTTGTTGTACTTATTTATTAGTTCTCATAGTATATTCTTTTTTTTTTTTAAGATTTTATTTATTTATTTATTAGAGAGCAAGCGAGAGAGAAACAGCATGAGAGGGGAGAGAGTCAGAGGGAGAAGCAGGCTCCCCGCTGAGCCGGGAGCCCGATGCGGGACTCGATCCCAGGACTCCGGGATCATGACCTGAGCCGAAGGCAGTCACTTAACCAACTGAGCCACCCAGGTGCCCTCTCATAGTATATTCTTTTAGATTCCTTGGGATTTTATATATATGAATATCATGTTGTCTGAGAATAAAGACAGTTTTACTTCTTCCTTCTTTCAATGGGGATGCCTCTTTGTTGTTTCTTGCTCCCATGAAGCTTATTCCTGTTTTGGGGATATCTGCCTGGATTGTTCTTCTCCCAGATACCGCATGGCTCACTTCCTCACTTCTTTAGGTCTTTGCTTCTTGTTGAGGCCTTCCTGGAACACCGTACTTAAATCCAACGCCTCTGCCCACCCCCAACCCTTGCCCTACACAGTATAACCTTTTCCTTGCGTTATATTTTTTCACAGCACTGGCACTTCAGACTTTATACCTCTCCCCTCTCAAGACGGTCCCAAGAGTTCCAAGAATGAGTAATATATCTGGAAGGAGGGCCCAAGCTGATACTTGGCCAGTGTTGGATGAAGGAAGGTCCAGAAGGGGTTTTCTCTGGGGCGCTCTGTCCCCGGCCCCACCCTTCTAGGTTAGGAGGGGAAAGTCTCTCTAGGCAGATGGGAAGACATTCAGGAGGCACTGGGTGCGGATACCCGGAGGCTGAACAGCTGCTGCTCACACTCAGTTGAAATGTGTGTATACGCGTGCCTGCCCTAGGCGCCCCAGCTACACCAAGACAAGGGGTCCGCCTGAAGCTTGTTTGCACTTGATTTCTCCTGGATGGGAAATGTAGGTGCGGGGAGGTGGGGAGGAGGGAGGAGGGTTCCCAGGAGCAGAGGTGGTTCTGTTTTTGGAGACCCCACTTCATCCCTTGCAACCAGGAAAGTACCTTCTCTATTTGCGTGGGATTAAGAAACAGGATCTCTTTGCATGCCCTCCCTCATCTGGAGTTTGCCACAGCACTAGGATTGGGGTTGAGCTGGGGTGCTCCCAGACCAGGTATAGGTAGGTGGGGGCTGTGGCGGCAGAAGCCCCTGCCTGGGTGTCAGGCAATCTTGTGTTCTTTTTTTTTTTTTTTTTAAGATTTTATTTATTTATTTGAGACAGAGAGAATGAGAGAGACAGAGAGCACATGAGAGGGGGGAGGGTCAGAGGGAGAAGCAGGTTCCCCGCCGAGCAGGGAGCCCGATGCGGGACTCGATCCCGGGACTCCAGGATCATGACCTGAGCCGAAGGCAGTCGCTTAACCAACTGAGCCACCCAGGCGCCCAGGCAATCTTGTGTTCTTGCAGCAGAGTGAACTTGAGCAGGGCAAGTCAAGGCCTCGAAAACTAGGTTTCCGCCTCTGTCAAATGGGTCTGAGGGAGCCGTCCTGGGGGTGGGGGGCTGTGCTCCCCCACTCTGGGTCTTCATTTCTTCACCTATACACCCAGTGTGAGAATACTCCTCATGGGCTGGAGGTTCCAAGAAGATTTTATCCACCAAAAAAATTTTCTTTATTGGGGTAAAATACACAGAATCTAAAATTTACCATCTTAACCATTTTTAAGTGTCCAGTTCAGTGGCATTAAGTACATTTGCCTTGTCGTTGTACCCCAAGAAGATGCAATCCTTTAAAAAGTACCGTGCCTCCCCCCCACCCCCGCCTCATGTGCCATACCTGTGCTGGCGCTCCCCTCCGCAGGGGCCTCGTCCAGAGCGGACGCCCTATAAAGAGGAGTGAGTTCCAGAGTCATGCGGCAGGGCCAGCCACCACGGGCTAAGCTGTTGGTGTCAGCTCTCGGGGCAGCTCTGACTGAGCACCGAGGGACCTGTGTACTCCAAACCACACACCGTCCTTCCAGCTCGTTCATTCAAATCCCTTATCCTTCCTGAGAGCTTTGGAGGAGGGTGCGACTGTCATCTCCATTTTGGAGGTGAGAAAGGAGGCAAAGGGAGGCTGTGTGCAATTTGCCCCCAACATGGCCTTTCCACGTTACTGGCAGAGGTAGCATTTGAAGGCAGGCCCTCGGGCAGGGCTGTACTACTTTTCTCTAAATCATAAACTATTTGAATTTTAACCATTTGATTGATGCAAGCACTCTGCACTGTTAAACTCACTATGGAACGTGATTCAGATTCACTTCGATTGTAAGTTTTCTTGTATTCGCACCCCTTGATTTAGAGAATCCCGTAACTTTCTCCACTGATGGGTTGCTACGTGAATCATTAGATTGAATGCCCAATTGCTTTATTACAACCTCCTTGTTCTCTATTTTTAAGTGGTGTCTGAAATTACTGAGTGTAAATCAGAGAAGAAAATAGTAGCCCTTAAAAATGGCTAATCTTGGGCGCCTGGGTGGCTCAGTTGGTTAAGCGACTGCCTTCGGCTCAGGTCATGATCCTGGAGTCCCGGGATCGAGTCCCGCATCGGGCTCCCTGCTCGGCGGGGGGTCTGCTTCTCCCTCTGACCCTCCCCCTCTCATGTGCTCTCTCTCATTCTCTCTCTCAAATAAATAAATAAAATCTTTAAAAAAAAATAGCTAGTCCTTCTAAGATGCATCAGGAAGATCCCTGTTAACTCTTTGGATGACTCATTAAGTAAAATAACTCGGTCCAATTTAATAACTTAGCCCAATTTAAGGCTGCCTCTCCACCCCCTATTAATGATTCTTAGGGTCTGGTGTATATATCAGTTTAAAATCTATCAGCAGAGCTGGGGGGAGTACAAATCTCCGTGGATGTGACAGTTACCAGATTGCTGAGGGCTTGGTTTCCTCATCTGTAAATGGGAAACTCCTCATGAGGACAATACGAAGATTAATGAACTGGCTGTTGAAATAGTGCCTGGCCCCCACAGTAAGCATTAGATCATGTGAACAATTATTACCGCCTCAGCTGAGCTGGCTGCTTTCACGGACGGCTTCTACTTCACCCGGAGTTCACCTTGAGGCCATGTGCCTGGACCCCACTTTTCATGATGAAAAACTGCAGGATACAGAAAGGTTAGAAGCCTACCATTCACGAACACCCTTCTACCCACCACATAGACTCAACAGTTGTGTTTTGCCATTACTTTGTTGATTTGGATATTTTCTTCCGAACACTTAGAGCAAGTTGCTAATCTTTCACTGCTAAATTCTTCAGCATGTATCTTTTATGAATAAAGTATGCTCCTAAGCAACCATCAAAATTAATAATTCTATAATATCATCTAACAACCAGCCCATAGTCAAATTTCCCTTGTCTCAGCAGAGGGTGCTATCAAATTTTGGATTTCTTTTTTTTAAAGATTTTATTTATTTATTTGTCAGAGACAGAGAGAGAGAGAGAGAGCACAAGCAGGGGGAGTGGCAGAGGCAGAGGGAGAAGCAGGCTCTCTGTTGAGCAGGGAGCCTGATGCAGGACCAATCCCAGGACCCTGGGATCATGACCTGAGCCAAAGGCAGACGCTTAACTGGTTGAACCACCCAGGCATCTCACAAATTTTGGATTTTTGCCAATCTGATGGATGAGAGTCTCTCAAGGTAGTTATAATTTTCTTGCCTCTTATTATGATGATGAGTGAGCATCTTTTTACACGTACAGGGGTTTTCTGCAATTCTTTTTCTGTGACCTATCTGCTCATGGCTTTTGTCCATTTTAAAATCATACTTTGGGTTTTTTCATCTCTACTTCTAATCACTCCTTATATATTGGGGAAATTACCCTTTGTCTTTAAGTTATAGGTATTGTCTCCCATTTGTATTTTTTTTAAGCTTTGCTTATGGTGGTTTTTTGTTTGTTTTTACCATGAAAAGCTTTTTAAAATTTTTGCTTTAATTTTATGTAGTTGAATTCATCAAATTTTTCTTTTATTGTTTCTGAATTTTGAATCCTAAATTGAAAGGCTTTCCTCACTCCTGGGTTATAAAGGAATCCCTTCATGTTTTCACCTAGAAGTTGTAAGGTTTCATTTTAAAAATCTGAATCTCGGGACACCTGGGTGGCTCAGTTGGTTGGGCGTCTGCCTTCGGCTCAGGTCCTGATCTCAGAGTCCTGGGATCGAGCCCCGCAATGGTCTCCCTGCTCAGTGGGGAGTCTGCTTCTTCCTCTGCCCCCTCTCTCTCCCACTCGTTCTCTCTCAAAAAATAAATAAAATCTTAAAAAAATATAAAATAAAAATCTGAATCTCGGGGTGCCTGGGTGGCTCGGTCAGTTAAGCGTCTGCCTTTGGCTTGGGTCGTGATCCCAGAGTCCTGGGATTGGGCCCTGGGTCAGGCTCCCTGCTCGGTGGGGAGTCTGCTTCTCCCTCTCTCTCTGCCCCTCCCCCTTACTCATGCTCTCATTCTCTCTCTCTATCTCATGAATAAAGGAAAAATCGTTAAAAAAGAAAAATAAATAAAAATTCTGAATCTCTGGTCCATTTGGTACTTAGTGTTTGGTGAGGTATGGGTCCACTTTTACCTTTTTTTTGAAATGGCTATTCAATTGTCCCAGGATCACTTATTTAAAAATCTATCATGTCCCAGTGATTTGAGATGCCACTTTGGTCATACATCAAACTTCCATAGGCAGTTGGGCAAATTTCTGGATTTTTCTATCCTGTTCATTGCTCTGTCTGGCTATGCATGTTCCTAACTATACTATTTTAATTGCAGAGACTTTATGGCATTTAAAAATATCTAGTAGGGATTACCCCCACCCCACTGCCCTTCTTTTTTAGTTTTCCTGGCTATTCTTGATTGTGTATTATTTCATACCAGAATCAACTTGTTTAACTCCAGGAAAAAATAAAAAAAAAACATCTTCAGTATTTTCATGAAGATCATGAGAAATGGATATATATACGTGGGCTGAATGGACATCTTTATAGTATTGAGACATTCGATCTAAGAACATATTATTATCAGGTGGCTCTTTTGGGGGCACAGGCTCTTAATAGGTTGAATTTTGTCCCTCCCAAAAGATATACTGAAGTCCTACCCCTACTACCCCAGAATGTCACCTTATTTGGAAATAGAGTCTTTACAGAGGTAATTAAGCTAAAATGAGGTCATTAGGTTAGGCCCTAATCCAATATGAGTGGTGTCACTATACAAAGGGGAAATTTGGACACGGACATGAGCCCAGGGAGAACACTGCATGAAGTGAAGGTAGAGGTCAGGGTGAGGTGCCAGCAAGCCACTGGCAACGAGGATGGGAGCCATGAGACAGATTCTCCCTCATGGCCCTCAAAAGACACCAACCTCTCCTGTACCTTGGTCTTGGACTTCTGGCCTCCAGAACTGTGAGACAAATGTGTTTTCTAAGTCCACTTGGCTAGCTATGCTTTGTTACAGCAGCCCCAGCCATCTACCACGGGCCCCTGGGAGGGTCTCTTGGGCTGGAAGTGAGCAGGCCAGCCACAACTTCAGGACATGGGGAAGCACTTGTGTGCTTTCCTACCCCTGACCTCAAGCAAGCCCAGCCAGGCCCGCTTCTTGCCTGCCTGAAGTTGGATGAGGGAACCAATGAATGCATTGGAAAGCTGGAGGTGTGACTTCACTCTCAATGGGTGGCCAAGCCCATTGAGGTCAAGGCCAATGAATGAGTCATCTGTGCAATGTGGCTCAGTGAGTCAGGGAGGGCCAGGCAGAAAGCCCAAGTTTGGGGCATATTTTCTCTTCCCTCTCCTTTGGAACCTAGAATTGGCCCCCTAAAAGTCATCAACCCAAGAAATAAACAGTGAAATAGTGTAACACACCACCCTCATGACACACCCACTGTGTGCTGGGGCAAGATAAGGACAAAGGACTTAGAAAACAGGGAGAATGAGTATGAGGCACCCAGCTGTGCCACTTACTTGCTGTGTGCCTTTGGATATGTTAGTGAACTTGTCTGGGCCCGGGTTCCTCTATCTCTTCTCGTGGGGGTTGGTGGTGGTGGTACCAGTCTGACAGGGTTAGTGTCACGGCCATACAAGGAAATGAATATAAAGCACCTGGCAAAGGGCCAGGCTCAGGGCAAGTGCTCAACAGAGATTGGCAATGATTATTAATAAGAACTGCCCCTAAGTAACTTACCCACAAAGGCAAAACTGCGATCCACAATTCTTGAGTCTTCGCCTATGACTTTGAACACACTGCAGATAACCCTTGCCCCTCCTTCCTTAGGGAAGTTTGGAAGAGACCAACCATGATCTCATTTGCTCCCTCTACCATTAATTAGTGTTTTCTAATTATGAAAAGGAAATTATGTCTCAATTCATACTGGTCTCAAAGAAATTACAACAGAAAGGTGTCATTTCTCACTGTGGCGTCAGTCCCCCTGGCAGCCCAGGGCGTGGCTCAGGGCTATGTTGGCAGGCTGTGTCCTTGGTTCAGGGACAAGCCTATCTGAGTCATGGAGGCCCTGCTACTTCCTGGTCCCTCTCCTGGGCTCCTGGGCTCATCTTCATGGGTTCGTTCAACAAACCTGCTTTGAGGTTTGTACCGGGGACCAAGAGAGGCAAGAAGCCATGTCCCTGCTTCCAAGCTAGTGGGAGAGACAGAAATGGTCAGCCATGGAGACTTCACACAAGATACTGGGGCTTCATCTGGTCCCACAGAAAATCTGAGAGTTGGTCTCTTGAGGTTATTTTTTTTATTTTATTTTTTTTAGATTTTATTTATTTATTTGAGAGAGAGAGAGAGAATGAGAGACAGCGTGAGAGGGAGGAGGGTCAGAGGGAGAAGCAGACTCCCTGCCAAGCAGGGAGCCCGATGCGGGACTCGATCCCGGGACTCCAGGATCATGACCTGAGCTGAAGGTAGTCGCTTAACCAACTGAGCCACCCAGGCGCCCCAGACTTTTTTTTTTAAGATTTTATTTATTTGCGAGAGAGAGAATGAGAGACAGAGAGCATGAGAGGGAGGAGGGTCAGAGGGAGAAGCAGGCTCCCCAGTGAGCAGGGAGCCCAACTCGGGGCTTGATCCCGGGACTCCAGGATCATGACCTGAGCTGAAGGCAGTCGCTTAACCAACTGAGCCACCCAGGCGCCCGGTCTCTTGAGGTTATTGCTGTCCCATTTTACAGGAGAGGAAACTGAGGCTCCCGGGGGAAATGGTAAATAAAGCCCATCTCTCAGAGGCCTTTCATCCAGACATTTCTATTCTATTATCAGTCCTTCTGTCTCCATGTAGACACCCTCTCCTTTGGGCATCTTTCCCTCATAACCTTCTCCTAGCTGGGTAAGGGTCCCTTTTTTGGCCTCCCCAGTCTGTACCCTGACACTTAGTACCTGAGTCGTACTCATTTATTAATAAGTGTGTCCCCCTGTCAGAAGCTTGTTAATTGAATGACCGCAGTGTTTTAATTCCCGTCCTTAAACATTTTACCGTACTGTATTTTACTGGATGTAAGAGGTCAGCAATTCTAAGGCCCCCTCACTAATTTATGCACCATCAGGAAAGAAAATGCTACCAATTAACTATGTCAATTAACTATAATATGCCTCTGATTGGAAGTTCCATTCCACTTTGAGGAATGATAAAATTTTTTTTTTTTAAGATTTTATTTATTTATTTGGCAGAGAGAGACACAGCGAGAGCAGGAACACAAGCAGGGGGAGTGGGAGAGGGAGAAGCAGGCCTCCTGCAGAGCAGGGAGCCCGATGCGGGGCTCGATCCCAGGACCCTGGGATCATGACCTGAGCCGAAGGCAGACGCTTAACGACTGAGCCACCCAGGCGCCCCGAGGAATGATAAAATATTTTAAAAATGTGCCTTAGGTGCAATGAAATATAAAAACAATTACTGCTTTTATTTATTTTTTATTTTTTTTAGGCGGGGGAGAGAGAGAGAGAGAGAGGCAGAGGGCAGAGGGCGAAGGAAAATCTTAAGCAGGCTCCACGCCCACTGCAGAGCCTGATCCCACAACCCTGAGATCATGACCGGAGTCGAAATACAGTCAGATGCTTAACTGACTGAGTCACCCAGGTGCCCCTACAATTACTGCCTTTAAACACATCCTAGGGGAAGAAGAGTTTATAAATACCCACTTATTAATAATAACAGAGTTTACTAAACACCCTGTGCCAGGCATTGTTCTAAAGTGCTCTTCATTCAGGATCTCATATCAGAGGTTGGCAAATTTTTCCTGTAAAAGGACAGAGGTAAATATTTTAGGCTTCATGAGCCATGAAGTGTCACAACCACTCACCTCTCATCGGAGTGCAAAAACAGCCCTGGGGGATATGTAAACCAACAGGTTGGGTATGCTCCAATAAAACTTTATTGACGGACACCAGAATTTGAATTTCAGGCAACTTTCATGTGTCACAGAATATTATTCTTCTTTCGATTTTTTTCTACAACCATTTGACATGTAAAAACCACTCTTAAGCTTGTGGGTCATACCAAAAGAGGGAGTGGGCTGGATTTGGGTCAGGAGCTGTAGTTTACTGACCCCTGTCCCATATGCTCTTCACACGGACGGGCCCTACAAGATGCTATTTTTATCCTCCTTTTACACATGAGGAAACAGTCTTTGAGAGGTAGGGTAACTTTCCCAAGGACACACAGCTGATGTGTGGTCAAGCTGGGATTCTAACCCAAGCAGTCTAACTCTGTAACTTGTCCTTAACAAGTTACCCTAAGTACAGTGAATATGGTTTACCCTAAATATGGTTGGCTTCTAATATTTTTAACTTTTTCCCCTGATTACAACAGTTCCACGTTCATGTTGAAAAATTGAAATCATACAAATTTATAAGGACGAAAATGAAAGTAACTCCACCCTCCGGAGATAAACACCGGGTTTGAACACACAGCTCTCACATGCTGACTAGATTAAGAATGTTCCGAACGCTGTGTGACTTTGGATGCGTGGCCTAACCGTTCTGAACCCTTGTCTCTCAAATGAGGGGGCGGGCTCAGATGACACAGCTCCGCAGGCCCTCTCAGGCCTGCCTCTGGGTATGTGTTTGTAAGGGTTGTGCAATAGCAGCTGGTTCTGTCCTAACTGCCTTCACGTGGAGGGTAAAGTCACCCCTTGCCAGCCCCTGGAGATGGGTCAAGTGGTCCCTGTGTATGGCTCATCCAAATCCCAAGCACTGAGTGAATTCGGACAGCAGGGACATCAGTGCCTGACTCGGGGGTCCTAAGAGGTTCAGGGTCCCTCCACGGCTAGTGCCAGAGACCCTTCTGCCCAGTGAGCAGAGCTCCAGACAAGCGGGGAGTCAGGGGCTTCCGCCAGCACCGCCTAGGATGGGACCTGCACAGGCAGAGGCCTTAATAGACTGAGGTTCCTACGGCCGGAGGCCTGGGCCCCGCTCCGTCTCAGTCAGACGGGGCCAGGCTCTGGATCTGTGTCTGATGACTACCAGCTGTGTGACCTTGGGCACATTCCCTCTCTGAGCCTGTTTCCCTGCCTGAAAAATGGGGAGAACAACCACCTCACAGGATCACTGATTAGTTTTGTTTTGTTTTGTTTTGTTTTTAAAGATTTTATTTATTTATTTGACACAGAGAGAAAGAACACAAGCAGAGCGAGCAGGAGAGGGAGAAGGAGAAGCAGGCTTTCCGCTGAGCGGAGAGCCCGATGTGGGGCTCGATCCCAGGACCCCGGGGAACCATGAGCCGAGCCGAAGGCAGACGCTGAACCTCCTGCGTCACTAGGCGCCCCGCATGATTAGTTCTTTAGATGATACTGTAACGCAGCTGGCACAGAGCTGAAGCTTAGTAAATGACATTTCTGACCCCTTCTCTTCATCTACTTTTCAACAGTATGCTTTTGAACAGCTCTTCCCCCATGCCGCAGATTACGAACCTACTATATGCCACGGCTGCATCCAAGGTCGTAGGGTGTGGAGGTCCAAAGATGAGAAAAATAGTCCCTGCCCTCACGTAACTCAGGGAGGGTAAGATAAGGATCAAAGAGACTTTTACACAATCAGAATGTTTGAACAAAGTCCTCCAGGACCCAAGGGCAGGAGAAGTTAGCGACACCAGGGAAAGCTTCATTGAGATGCCACTTTGGCTGGGTCTTGGCGGATGGAGAAAGATTATGGCTGAGCCCAGAGGGGACAGCATCCTGGAAGGCGGAGGGGGACAGGGTGAGCAAAGGTGTGGGGGTGGGAACACAGGCTCAGGGAGTTTGCCCAGAGAACAACAAGAGAGCCAATCACAGTAGTGGGGCTGGGCCGAATGGATGCGTGAGGCCAGGGGTGGTGTGCCTTGGGTTCGGTGGGAAAGGAGGAGTCATGGAGGGTACGGAGCAAAAGCAGGAGGTGCCAGACAGCACAGTCGAAGGCCTGTGGATTCTGAGAGAACATGACCGGTGGGAGCCAGCTCCCTCTCCTGAGAGCATCCATTCTGGGCATGACCCTCTCAGGCCCTTTCTCACACATGGTCTTACTTAGTTCTAGATGGATGGTATTCCCGGTTTACATAAGGGGAAACCAAAGCTCACACATGTTAAGCTGCCTGCCCAAGTTCACGGGGTAGACAGTGAGCTGGGGCCATCTGTGAGAGCGCCACCCTTTCTCCCCCTGTTCTGGGACCCCAGGGCAGATCCAAAATCCATTCAGAGGGCAGGATTTGGATAGGGCTTGTAGGCTAATGCCATCCCGGGCTACACTGAGTCCCCCACAGTCCTGGGGTACTTGTCATTGCTGCCATCACAGGAAGGAGGGAGTGCAGGCTCAGTAAGGGGAAGTGACTTATACAAGGCCACACACTGAGGGTGGGGAATCCAGGCCTTCTGAGTTCAAACCCTTCCCGCTAGCCCCCACTGCCTCCAGGTTTATCTCTAAGCACATCTAAAACTGGAAAGAGCCCAGGTCAGAAAGGCCCAGTTCCCTCCCAAGTCAATATTCACTGATTTCATGCTCCTTCATTGCCCTGTGCCCTCCAGGCCCATGACTCCAGTCCCAATACCATCACCATAGGCCAGATTACGTTAGGCCTCTCTCTGACTCAATCTTCAGCCAGCAGCAGCCTCTCCACTGCCTAGACTGGTGTCTTCTGTGGCTACACCTTTACCACCACACCCCCTGACCCGAGCCATTGTGTTAGTCGGTCTCAAGGAGGGACCTTTTCCTGAACTGGGCCTCTGTTCCAACCACACCTACCAGTGTTTTGTAGTGACCTTCTCCGCAGGTTCTGATGCCAGACCCTGAAACATACATGGCTTGCTGGGAAGGGGAAAACAAGAGATTTAGTGAATCATAATGGGAAGGGCTAAGGTAAGGCCTGGGTCCCTTACCCTTACCATCTCTCACTTAGGCCTCAACCCATCCACAAAGTAGGCAGTTGTAAACCCATTCTACAGATGTGGGCTTAGAGGCTCAGCAGGGAAAGAGATGAGCATAGGATCACCCAGAAGCAAAATAACAGCACGGGGGTTCAAACTATGCTCTTTCCAGAAAAGGATAAAGAGGAAAAACCCACAGAGCTCAGCAGACACCTGACTCCAGGGCCAGACTGTGCCACCACCACTATAAAAGCTGTATAAAAAGTTGGTTTTTTTTTAAATGTGGATAGGGGAAGATATAATTAATGCTCCTGGTTAAAAAAAAAAATGGGGCAGATAAAGTTGGTATGCTGTGAAAAGTCAGCAGCTGTAACATTTTATGATTCAATGCAAAAAATATGTAGAGTTCCTCAGCTGAATAAATAGTATAAACAAATAATTTTTTTTTTTTTTTGAAAAGGTATAGGGAGGGTGTTGCCATTATCTGACGACCTCTTTGCTGTCGTCAGGATTCATCTAAAGGTAGAAAATGCCCTTAAGAAAATGTACTCAACCCGGAACTTTTCTAGAACGTAGACAGAAAGTCTGAGCATGTGTGAACACAGAAGCTAAACAAGACAAATGCAGAAGTTGCCTCTGATGATATAGTCCACAGATCAACGACACAGAGTCCTTGAAATCCCCATCCCATCCCCCCTCTCCACAGGAGAGGGGAAGAAACCGCAGAATGTTCTTGACTCGGCACCCAGACCGGGTGGCGCAATATTTGTTTGTGTACCTAGCACATCGGTGCCGCCCTCCCCTGCCCAGGGGGCCGTCACTAGGACTCCGCGCGGGTGGCCGCATGGGGTCTTCCCAAACGTTCGTCCTGGACTCCTAAAGCCCCGTGGCACTGGGTTTCGAATTCAGCCCATATAGATGACGAGGGTCAGGGCGTGGGGACTGAAACCCCTTAGCTTAGGGCATAGTAGGCGCCCAAACAGCATATACAGAGCTGTCTTAAGCGAACGTGGCCAGAAACGTGTCCAGTGACCCCTGGAGGGCGCTGTCGAGCCACGCCGGGGGGGGGGGGTAGTCGCCTCCCCAAACGCCGAACCCCGCAATCCACCACCGTACCTTACGACCCCACACTTGCGATTTCAGTCCCTTTACCCGCCTTTCTCGGCTCCAAATCCTCTAGGAACAGAAGGGCTTCGACTGGAAGGCATTTTACTTGTTTAAATGTGTTTTTCTTAAGTAACAGGACAAGTCTGGGAAACCTGAGCCGAAGGCATTCCCCTGAACTTTACCCCAACTCACCCCGGTTGTCCTTAGTAGGAACATATCCATAGGCAAACATTACATTTTCTCCAACCCTAATTTCAGGTTCCTCTCTGTTCCCCTACCCCCAGCATTGTGATATTGGGCAAGTAAATCGCTTCTTCTGGGGAACCTGAGTTTTCCGCGGCTACTGGTGACGAGGAAATGAGCGAAAAGGGCACACGTGTATGCAAAGGCGCAGGAAGCCCCTTTCCGTTCCGGGCGGAGGGGGCGCGGGGAGGGGGAGGGGAGGGACAAGGGAGGGGGAGGGGAAAGGAGGGACAAGGGAGGGGGAGGGGAGGGGAGGGACAAGGGAGGGGAGGCCGCTGGCCCGCCGCCCGCTCTCCCGGCCGTTCGGATCCCGGAGGTCAGCCCTTGGCTGGCAGCGCGCCCGCCACCTCTTCTCCCCCCTGGGCCCGGAGAGCGGCGCAGGCCGGATCCCCAGGGACGCGCCAGGCGCAGGCCGGACGGCCGGGCTGGGGCCCGAGCCAGCAGCAGCCAGCGGATCCCGCTCCGAGGCGGATGACGTCTTCGCCTCTGGCTCCGCCGGCGCCGAGCCGGGCTGGGCGGGTGACGTCACCACACGGCCACGTGATCGTCATTCAAACAAACAACTCCCTCCCCCTGCGCGCCCGCTCCGCCCCGCCCCGCTCCGCCCCCAGAGAGGCCACATATAAACGCATTCCCGCAGGCTGGGCTCGCTGCGAGGGACGCCGGGCTGTAATAGGTGTGAGTGGGGCTGGAGGGGCAGTCGGGGGAACAGCAAAGAAGCCTAGGCGGCCGGGAGTCCTCCGCGACGCCCCCTCACTCAGTCTAAGGGCAGTCTGGGGTTCGGCGCAGAGAGAACTAGGGTCGGGCTTTTCTTCGAAAGCCGCTGCCCT